ACTTGAGCATACATTAAGTTCCCTACCAAGGATGCATAAGGCTTGTTCTTCATGCTATCCTTCTCCAGTTCATTCTTTGGACTTTGTTCATTGCTCATTTTTTCTCCTTTGCCAATAGGTAACTCTCCACTAGAAGACTTCTCCATGTTGAACCTTTTAGTGACTCTATCAATATATTGTTGCTGAGAGAGACCAAGAGCTTTCTTGCTACGATTCCTTATGATTTCAATGCCAAGTACAAACTAAGCTTCACCCAAATCTTTCATGTCAAAGCTCTCAGTTAACAGTTTCTTTGTTGTATGCAATAATGAAACATTTGAGCTTGCAAAGAGTATATCATCAACATATAAAACCAAGAAAATAAACTTAGAATCACTGACCTTGAGATACACACATTCAGCCATCTTATTTTCATGAAATCCAACAGTTGTCATGACTTGATCAAACTTCTTGTTACACTTCTTGAAGCTTTGTTTTAATCCATAGATAGACTTGTTTAATTTGCAAACCAATGATTCCTTCCCCCTTTGAACAAATCCCGGAAGTTGAGCCATATATATATATATATATATATATCTTCCTCCAAATCACCATTAAGGAATGCAGTATTGACATCCATCCGGTGAAGTTCAAGATCAAAGTGTGCAGTGAGAGCTAACATTGCCCTCATTGAATCTTTTGTTGAAACATGAGAGAATGTCTCATTATAATCGAGTCCCTCCCTTTGAGTAAATCATTTTGCCACCAATCTTGCTTTGTGTTTATCAATTTGTCCCTGTGAATCACTTTTGGTCTTGTAAATCCACTTGTAGCCTACAACTTTTGTCACTTATTTGTTGTTTGGTACAAGAGTCCAGACGTTGTTCTTCTTCATGGATTGTAATTCTTCCCCCATTGCCATATGCCACAGTTTGGATCTTGCACTGGAAATTGCTCGATTGAAGGATATTGAATCATCCTCATCTCTAATGTGATGCTCAACTTCATTTAAGTACATAAAATCTGGCAACAAGGTTGCTTGTTGATTTCTTTGAGGTTTCCTTATGTTTTTCATTTCTGGCTGAATGTCAACTGGTGTAATGGATGGTTCTAAAGTGTTTTCATTTGTAGTCATCTCAGTAGTATCTTTAGTGATGATAGAAAGTGTTATCTCCTCTTCTTGACGGCCTTTAATGTAGTCTGAATGTGCTGGGATGAGGGGAATCTCAGTTGCTGGTATAACGGTGACTTGCTGATCAAGAAACATTGGATTTGCAGTTTCTTCTTCAAATTTAGGCATTGAATCAACTGAAACACAGTTGGTTCTTTCTTCTATGAACTTGGCATTATTGGTTTCCATGATTCTTCTACCAGAATCAGGACAATAAAACCTGTAACCTTTTGACTTCTCTGAGTATCCCATGACCTGCAACTAATGGTTCTTGGATCCAGTTTCTTTTCACTTGGGTTGTAAAACCTAGCTTCAGCCTTGCAACCCCATAAATGAAAGTGATTAAAGCTTAGTCTCCTTCCTGTCCAACATTCAAAAGGCACCATCTTTACTGTTTTGCTTGGCACTCTATTCAATATGTAATTAGCAGTCTTCAATGCTTCTCCCAAAGGAAAATTGGCAACTGAGAGTGTGCAAACATGGATCAAATCATGTCTTTGGGAGTCCTATTAATTCTCTCTGCCACTCCATTTTGATGTGGAGTACCAGGAGTTGTATATTGAGCAATAATGCCATTTGTTCAAGGTAAGTTGCAAAAGGTCCATTGTGTTGTTCAGTTTCAGTGTACCTACCAAAATACTCCTCACTCCTATTGGAGTTTTAATGAAAGAGAAATTAACTAATAAAGTCGGGAACATTTTTATAAACTTCCCTCCATTTAAAAATGGATTTCATGGTTTGTTAATGGGGAGGACCCATTGTCAATTTTTTTTGGTTGGGTTCTTTTCCTCTTCGGGGGAACTCTCCAAAAAACTCTCTCCTTCTCTCCCCCTCATCTCTCTCGTCCTTCCCAGACACCACCCACTCGACCACCACCACGGCGTCCTCCGTTGAATCCCCACCTTTAATCTCCTTGTTCTCAGCCTTTGACACTCACGCCGAGGCGTACCGACGACTTGTCATACGATTTCCCCGTTTCTGGTAAGAATATCATGTTATTCACATCTCTACCTCACCCATACTTCATTATTTTCTTATTTGGAGTGAGGGTTAATGGGTTTATCAATTTTATCTATATTTTTTTCAGAAAAAGGGATTTTGCCTTGGTTTTGAAATTTTCATATGAGCACACACACCTTTTTGTTTTGGACAAAATAATAATTGAAAAATCATAGACTTTGATATCATAAATCTGTTGAATTTGATATTTTACTTTTGTACATATGCTGGTCAGTTTTCATTATACTATAGGTTTTTGGATTCTCCCTTATGTGAATTGGAATAATTCGATTTTGTCTAATATTTGACTTATCTTATGTTAATTGACAAGGGAAAGATAACTGAATCCTATGAAGCATGTGTTTGCATCTTTAATATAGAACTTGCATTAGCTCCTTTGTATGGTTTGAGGCCGTATGCCCATTTTATCACTGTGTACGTGAAAGCATAAGAATAGACTTGTGTGTGTGTGTGTGTGTATCTTGAATATAATTAAATTGGTTTGGGTGTAGTTTTGTCGACGACATTCATATATGCTGGCATTGTTACATGTATGCTATTGAATCATTTTTTTCTTTTCTTTTTTCTGTATATGCGTCTAAAATTTGTGAATGCATATTAAGTATTGTCATAATGAATGAATTCTTTTCCACTGTACCAGCTTATGGATATATATTCCGTTTTTCAATTATTACACTTAGGATTGATATAAAAATGATATGTTGTGACTGTTCTGAACACTTGTCGAACTAGTGTGTTGATATATTGTGACTGTTCTGAATACTTGTCGAACTAGTGTGTAGATATATGGTTGAAGTAGAATTAATTGTGAAACCGAGGCTTTTGCATATAGTATGTTAGATTAAACTACAATAGAAATTGGGATTGGTCCATACAGTGTACTTATTAGATTAATCACAAGAAAAATCACAAAGGGTCTTGTCGACCTCATTTGAGAGTTCACCATGGATGGTCCTGCTTTGTATAGACATATTTCAGGGATGATCATATTTGGTATTTCTGTGATAGGTGATCACTACCTACGCTATTAGACTATACCTATGGTTCTGCTTGGTATATCTGCAATGGCAGACCATACGCCTTCTAGGAGTGATCATGATTGATATATCTGTGACGAGTGATCATTACCTAAAGCTATAGGTTATGGTCCTACTTGGTATATCTGTGATGGGGGACCACACATATTTTAGGGGATGATCACGCTTGGTATATCTACGATGGGTGATCATTGCCTACACTATTAGACTATGCATATGGTTCTACTTGGTATATCTGCAATGGGGGACCATACGCATTCTAGGAGTGATCATGCTTGGTATATCCGCGATGAGTGATCACTACCTAGAGCTATAGGTTACGGTTCTCCTTGATATATCCACGGTAGGGGACCACACATATTTTAGGGGGTGATCATGCTTGGTATATCCGCAATGGGTGATCAATGCCTACCTAGGGTTGTGAGGATGTTGTACTTGGTAAATTTCGATAGGCGACCACATTTTGGTTCGATTCCGTTAAGTGATCCAGAATCCTTGCTCTTGTTCGTTTCTATTAAGTTAGTCAGGAATCCTAGATTCCAGTGAAAAGGAATTACTCACATTAGGCATTGGGTTTATAAATTTGAGTTACCATTGTTATTGCTTGGAAGCCAAGTAGGGAATTAAGGAGAGTTTCTTTATTAAACTTCGTCAAAGGATATGTGATTTTGTTTATTGATCAACGTACTTAAATGTTAATGTTGTACATCTTTAATTCATTAAATCGATTAATGGTTGTGATCGTGGATTGTGTTGGAAAATATTGTAATATAGGTGAATGACAATCATGTTTCACATATGATTTTGTTATGTACACTAAAATCTAGCGAGACAGGCTCAATTGGTTCCCTTGTGTGATTCTAAAACTCTTACAGGACTGCTTTGAGAATTCTAAAGCGTAAAGGAATGATGGGCTACGAAAGGCTTGATCCCTGCTTAGAGTACATAGGCAGTCTAACACAAGGATTAGATGTAGCCATGAAATAAAAGAAAATTACTGCATGGTGGAACTTTGATTGTGTTTTGGGTCAGTCTCGGAGGCGAGACATGAAAGACTTACAGGTACTTGGTGACGCCACGTATCGATCCTAGCGTATCTTGGGATCGGGGTGGTGATAGAACCAATGTAAAAGTCAGAAATAACTTGACCAAAGGGATGAATAGTGACAGCAACATAATTCTTTAGTAAAATGATAAGCAGACAAAAGATTTTCCTTAAGAGAAGGAACATGTAAGACAACTTAGGAGAACCCACAGGAGTTTACAAGACCTAGCGTAATAAAATCCTAGCCGGATTCACCTATACTAACACATTTTATTCTCAATTCTGCTCTAGGGATTTCCAACTTTGATCTCTTCAATCATTGCTGGGATAAGCAAGTGACTTGTAATTTAGTTAGTTAAGATCATTCACGCTTACATCTGTCGAGCCCATGTTTGAATGTCCACCTCTATAGTTTAATATAGATATTCTATCGTTTGTCCAAAAAAAATTAAAAAAATCATTGCTGGTACAGAATTGAAAGTGGTCGTGGTTATAAAATTGGCGTCCTTAAAGTAGGGGAAGTGCAATGGTAACCGCTCTGGGCTTGTGCGATTCTTGACACCGATATGGGCACGTAGAGCTACGGAGAAGGTGGATAAAACTATTCTCTGTGAGAAGGAAATTCGGTGCTACCCTGTCTTGGGGTCTGATTTTTAACTTATTTAGTAATTTCCTTTTATTTATTGGATGCTAATTTTTAATCGGCCCGAGCGATCAACAGCATTAACAGAAAGAGATCAAACAGGACTCATGTGAAACTAAGCTTTTCTTTCCGAGCAAATCACATGTTAGTCATAAACTTCGACAGAGGAAAACATACCATCACACCGGAAGTTGGTGATTCAATAAATGAGTTCGGAATTGCCTTGGCAGGCAGAGAGCATTTTTGCAGAAGATAAAATTTTGGGTCGTTGCTGTATTCGATCAGAGGATTTATTGTCAAGCCGGGTTGAGAGGGTTTTCGTTTCTCCGCTGTAGTGAATCGACTGCTGGTTGTTTTGTTGATGATCCGAACTCATTAATACACTAAATTCGCTGATTTCGAATGATCCCCTGTTCATTTCCTATGGATTTCACTTGCTGTTTTGTATGTGGCGAAGGCAGTAGTAATCAGGAGCTAGTTGACAATCTGAAGAGTAAAAACAGGCCGACGTGCAGAAAGTTATCTGGAGTAGTTTATAAGATAATAGCCAAGTGACAAGCTCATGAGGCTTCATGCCAGCCTTGAGAGAGAATCTCGCCGCCAAGTACGTCTTCAAGTCTGGGACAGCTTCAATGGACTTTATCAAGGAAGCATCCACACTCTTCTGATCGCCTTTCTTTCCTAGTGGGATCACATTCTTCTCCTACAATTTACAAACTTCCCATTCACATGTAGAAGAAGAGATCAAGCTAGTAGAAAAGAAATGGATTGATACAATTAAAAGGGAAACATAAAAGGATCAGAAAATCTGTATAAGAAAAATATCACGTAAAATCGGAAGACAATGAGCACATTGCCACATTGAACTTCATAGTTCAGGCAGACGGTACCAACAGTGGAAGAGAATCACGAGGACAATAAATTATTTGCTCAAAAGTATATGTAAATGAACAACGAAAATTCTAACCTCTTTCTCAGCCTCAAAAAACTCTCCCTCTCCCTTCTTCTTCTTCTTTTCAACTTCCTTAGCAAAATATTTTTCATCAAATATTTCGACATTCAACCCAGAAATGTCAACCTTGGTAGAAGTGGCAATCACGTAAGACTGATTTACACGTCTCAATTTTAAAGGGGCCTGCAATGGCATCATACCGGCACTCAAGTTAGAACGGCACTCAACAAGTTTTTTCAAGAAGCAGGCAAGTGCCCTAAACTAGAAACTCATTACCCTTGCTCACCACGGAATTGAAGAAAAAAAAAAAAAAAAAAAAGAGCAAATACAAAAATCGGTAAATTTAAACAAAATAAGAACAGAACAGATATTTTAATAAGAAGCAAAGAAAGAATCATTCAAAAAACCTATGAAAGTTGAAGGCATAAAAGCTAATTCATATATTCTAACGAACAATCACGATTAAATAGATTACTAGGTGATTCTTCACAAGTTGATACACTCAGATCTATCTATGCAGTTACAGAAGCGAGTGTTACTCTTTCATGTCATCGTTTCATACAGTTTCGGAAGAAAACAAATTAGCAACACATCACTTCGAGTACTCACTCACTAAGCCTATTTGAATATCCCCACTCAAAGAAAACCCCAGCCTGCAAAATATCCCATTCAACCGGAGGGGAGCAATCCCCCAAGCACAATTCATACGAGACGGTGATGTATTTGCAAATAACTTGAAACAAAAGAAACCTCCTTTTTTGCACCAAATTCTAATGGTGTCGCCACAAAACAACGTTATCGTCATTGGGCGGAATTCATGACCAAGGAACCTCCCAGTAACATAAAACTTTGACATTCATTCGAAATTCCGGAACAATAATTTCTGCTAAAAAAAATCAGAACTCACCAGTAACAAGAAGTAGCCCAGATGAAAGCTGCTTAAGAAAAACAACTCTCTTTCCCTTAAACCTTCCAGCCAATACAATCGCGGTCCCTGGTGTTGTTAAATTAAATTATAAAAAAAACCCATAATTTTAACAACAATTATAAAAAATAAAAAAAAATTTAAAACCCAATGATTCGAATTTCAAAAATAATTAAAATCTGAGAGAAAGTAGAGAAAAAGAGAACCTGAGATTGGTGGGCCTGGGCTCGCGTTTGTTGACGAGGGGTTTCTTGACGTCGTCGGCGGGGTAGAACTTGGGCGGCTTCTAAGGATGGGTCTCGGCTGCCGGCTTCGCATCGTGGCGAGGGAAGACGCCGCCGTTTTTGTCCTTGAGAGCCCAAAGACCACGCTTGTGGTACATTTTGGACCTCGAGAACTTACCCACCCCACGGACGAGATCTGGGTTCCGGGTCTTTCTGGGGTTCCTTGCTTTTGCTGCCATTGCTGAGCTCACAGAGTCTCTCTGCGGCTTGCTATTTGCGATAGAGAGACGACGGAGGAAGTGGTGCGGCGGGGGGTAAACCCTAACTTCCGGTTTTAATTTTTTTATTTTTTTGGGTTTGGGCTTTGTATCAATCTGGCCCAAACTTTACTTGTAATACAGAAATGTTGTGTATTTATTGAAAAACATTTGAATTTTAAGAATAATCGATTGTAAAGGTAAAATGATTGAGGTCTCGTTTGTCATGCTGTACATAGCACCGAATAAAACCAATAATACGGAACCAATTGTTGAGCACTTATGTATCAAGTAGGCATTCCACTAATTATTCTATTATGGTCCCATTTATTTTATATGCTCTACACACGTTAATTTGTACATTTCAAAAGATAGGTATAGTGGTTAACAAAATATATTTTAAAGTCACTTAATACTGATCTAGTGATATTCCTTTTCACTTGTAACTGTAAAGTCTATTATTCAAATCCCGTTAATGACAAATTCAATACCAATTTATTCTCTCACACTACTGAAGTTTAAAGCCTCAAACCATGCATGATAACCTCTAAGAAAAGTAGATAAGATACAACATCCAGTAACATAATTTGGATTCATTTACTCCATTGAACAAAAAAATTGAAGTGAAAACTTGTATACCAAATAAAAAAACTCAAAATGAATTACAAGCCATTTAGAAATGCTTCTTTAAAAAACACTTACGCTCATAAGTACTTCTAATAAAGTGCTTCTATTTTTATTTTAAAATCACTTTCAAACACATATAATATATATAGAAAGAAATCCAAAGTAATATCAAAGAAAGAAAAACTTTATGGATATTGTTGTATGTATATCTTCTTCGTCAACTAGCCGGAAATGTCACTAGTTACCTAGGAAACGGTCCGGTCATGGAATCAACATTTGTGGAATCTGTATACATGGAGAGAACTTCAGGTGAACTATGATTATACGGCCCAAACGCAGCGCGAAGTTCTTCTGTAGATCTTGGTGTTCTTTCTCGATGCCTAGACAACTCCATTTCCAAGCAATATTTGAGCTCAGACAATACAACATCCATTGTGATTCTGTGTTGGGAGGTAGAAGTTGTGCACGCCATTGCTATCTCTAACGCTTTCCAGACCGAATGCTCATCGAACTCTCCTTGCATCCTTTGATCTACAATGCATTTTAGTTCCCCTTTTTCGAGCTCAGAACTTACCCACGTTGCTATGTGGATTACTTATTCACTTTTTATCACTGCAGGTTGGCCGGTGATTAGCTCTAATAGAACCACCCCAAAACTATACACATCACTCTTTTCATTCAGCCTTTGGCAATTGTAGTATCTGTAAACAAAAACTAGGATTCATAAATCACAACATTGTGGTTTGTATGCAGCTTATTGTCGGTTTAGTGCCCCTTCAATTTTATTTTTGATTAAGAGTTTGTTCCTTTTTTTTTACATCGTATTTTCACATGATTATTATGGTAATAGAATGAGAAAATCTGAACATACTCTGGATCAAGATATCCGGCTGTTCCCATGACTGTGCTGACCACTTGAGTCTCAATGTCACTAGCAAAAACCTTGGAAAGACCAAAATCCGCTATTTTAGCTTCCAAGTTTTCGCTTAAGAGAATGTTGGCTGTCTTCACATCTCTGTGGACAATAGGCGGCTTGCATCCGTGATGCAAGTACTCGAGACCTGCGACCCAAATTTTGCATTCCGTTAGTAGAATAATAATTTGTGTAAACATGATCACATCTATTTTACTGAAATAACAGGAAGCACGAACCTTGTGCAGCATCGATTGCTATATGAAGTCTCATTTCCCATGTCATCTGTGAACTCCTTTCTGCATCTGCAACCAATAATGTGTGTTGTGGTCACTAGATTTAAGATGGACCAACATAAACTGGCGAAATTTCTCTATCTTGATAACAAGATTATACCTGAGAGAGAGTTTTTCAGGTTGCCATTAGCCATGTACTCGTATATAAGTGCCAAGTTGTTCGCATCATCGCAGTATCCGATAAACGAGGCCAAGTTTCTATGATGGATTCTCATCAGGAGCTCAGCCTGAAGTCAAGAACAAACTCATCACAACCTGCATCGAACGAGACTAGGCTTGGCATTTACCTTGCATTCCAAGAAATTCTAAATGACAAACCTCTGTTTGGAACTCCCTAGGTCCTTGGGTTGATGATGCAGAAAGCATTTTTACAGCAACTTGGGTTCCGTCTTTCATGCAACCATGGTACACAGTCCCAAATCCTCCTTTCCCGATCGAGGTTTGAAAGTTTTTGGTGATATCTAAAACCTCCTCATGAGTAAACTGGCACTTTTTTGATGTTATAGCTGTTTTGTTAAAGGGTTCTGCTTCTGTATAAGTACACAAAAAATTATGTGTATGCATTGCATAAATTTTCATTCGAACTAGACAACCTGTTTCGAGAGTTCTTCTTTGTTCAAAGTAATACTGTTACAATTTGGGGAGCTACTGAGATCTGTAAAGGTACCTGATTCTCTTTTTCTTCTCAATTTCCATGCTAGCATCAGGACTATAACGACTGCTAGTGCTGATACTAACGAGGCAACTATTGGAGCAACAATTTTCTTCTTCTTTTTGCATGAACCCGAGCCACAAAGATTTTCAGTATCCACACTGAAATGAACACAAAAATTCTTCTTATTTCTGTTATTTTTTAAACCAAAGGCATGTTTCTAAACCAGATGCACAAGAAGCGATTTTTACCTCAGTACAAGTAATCCAGCTTTTGATCTCTCACGAAGAGCATTTGGAACCGAACCAGACAATTGATTGCCTTTCAAATTCCTGCAGATCAATTCTTAATAATATGGAATTCTGGTATCAAATGAGTCTATGATCATGTAGAGATTGCACTTACAAGAGAGTGAGCGACTTTAGTTCTTCCAAGAACTGAGGCACTGGCCCGGTTAGGTTATTGTTCGACAAATCTCTGGGAAGAAAAGCATTATAGTTAGTCGGTTCTGCAAGATAGTAAAGTGGATAAATTCGGCAAGATGAGGCTTCAAGGAAGCAACAGTGAAGAACAATTACAAGGACTCCAGTGATGAGAGATTGGCAATGGAAACAGCTATTATCCCATTCAAATTGCTTGAACTCAAGTTTCTAATCACAATAAAAGACAAATCGGCTTAGAATTAGATTGAAAAGACAAAGAAATTGTAAGAAGACTAGTTCCTTAGAAGGACTCACAGGGAAATAATCCGAGGAAGCGAAACGCTGTAGTTGCATTCTAGTCCTTCCCAAGAGAAATTCCTAGGTCCACAAGGATCACCAGCCCAGATTTTTTTTTATTTGATATGTAGTTTTGACGTTCGTTATGGCATCAGCTGCAGTCATTAACAAAACCAGATCAAACAGGACAGATAAAGCTAAGAATTGGTCAAATTTAAGAGTGAACAACCAGCGGTCACCAACATTGTTTCCAACTTAATCATCCGCACAGTTCGCTACTATATGTTGTATTTTATATTGTCAGGATTCCAAGGTGGGATTTTTTTATTTTTCAAGAAGCATTTCTTTTCCAGAGCAAATAAGCATATATCAATACTTGTAAGAATGTTCTTGTTGATTTAACAAAGGAAGACATACCATCTTCACCATAAGTAGGTGATTCAACCAGCTGCATAACTTGGAAAACTTCAACAGCATTCAGAATCGGCGGAAGGGAAGAGTCATCTGTCTTGTGTAAAGAAATTTCGTGATCCTTTCCCACCAGAGCTCTTGAATTAGATATCACGTCTGCCTGTAAGTAACGGGGAGTGAATGGTCCAAACAATGGAGATCCATTCCATGATATTTTGAATTTTCTTGACTGATTCTTCTCAAGTTTCTCCACTTCAGCAAAGTACATAAAAACATAAAACTGAGGATTCATGTCAGTTGTGTTCCAGTACAAATTTAAAGGTTCACTTTCATTTCGAGGTGTAGCTGCAGTCCCGATTACTTCCAATGGCACTCTATATCCGTTGTCATAGGTAGTGATCGACGAAGAAGTACTAACTGGATCCCAAGAAGGTGAAATGTGACGTGACCAAATGCGATCATAAACATCATCTCCACATCGACCTGTTCCATTGCTTTGTCCAATGTCCAGTCTTTCAATGAGTACTAATGATGCAGTCCCAAATTCAGTACCATAAGTTGAGCTATTAAGCGGTCTAAATTCTAACGCCGAAATGAAAGGAGTTCCCAACCCTTTATTTATTAGACAAATGTCCATGGTATTTGATTATGCAAAACCTATAATCTCCTTTGTAACAATATCTGAAGCATTTTCAAACCTCACTGTCGATCAAAAGTTGACGCTGAGATAGAGATCAAATTCAGGCTGCTTGTTTTCTCCATCGTAGTTTCCATACAAGAAGGTAGCTCTAATCAAATTCAAACTGCCATTTCCTGCTTCGGGTTTCAACACGTAGCAATTTTTGTTTCCTTGAGGAAAACTCCTGAGGTCGGAGAGAGGGAAGGGGAGGTTGGGATTGTTTGGATACATAAATTCAGAAGATATGTTCTGGTTTATCACTGTGTCTATGTAATCTCCATCTGGTGAGTATGTTTATGTTCGTATCCGTGTCTTCATAGGGCTTCGAGGGAGAACCACAATCAATGCTTACGAAGTCTACTCCAAAACAAATAAATGAAATAAGTCTTGGAACTCAAGCAACAAATCGAAAGAAACAGATTCTTCTTATGTTTTCAGTAATTCTTTTGTGTTGCCATGTGATCCTTCAAACAGATGCACCTGCATTCTTTTCCAAATTTATGGAACATAGAAAAAAGCTCCAAGTTTTCCGTTTTCTTTGTTAACAAAGATAATTGTTGCTTAATGTTGTTTTCCACGGCTATCCTACTTTAAGTGTAGGTCGTGGGAAAATTCCCAAATTACTGCTTAGGAGTATTAGAATAGGCCAGTGCTTTTTCTTTCATAAATATCTATTCGATTGGAAAATAGGTCAGTGTTTTCCTTACCTACACATTGTTCATACATTAACCTGAGTGTTTAGAGTCGTACTTTCAATGACTTTTTTGTGAAGTGAACAAATCAAGCTCCACTCTCTACGTGGTTAGTCTTCAATCTACCAATTACTTTAGGGGTGTGCTCTTCACACACCCCTTTTTACTTCTCACACACCCCTTATTAATTTATGTCAGTTTATCTTCTTCAATTCATCCAATCCGATAGCCGAAAACCAAAAAGGTGTGAAAGAAGTAAAAAGGAGTGTGTGAATATCACACCCCTTACTTTAATGTCCTATCTTCTAATTTGTATTTGTTCGGGTTTTCTACCATTTTCATCATTGTTCTATTGCTTTAAGCTACAGATGAAGTGTTATACATGTTAGGTACAATTAAGAAGTGAATTAGATCCTCTTGAGAATGAAGGGGATAGTTCTACGGGTGTTAACTTAGTTTTTAGATTGATTGTTTAGTTACAACATAAAATCTCAACATTTACATTTACAATATTAGAATGCACTGATCTAAATAAGAGACTATTAAATCTCTGAAAAAAAAATCCTCTCTAACTGGTATAAAACCATATTCTTTTCCACCAATAAAAAAACTAGGTAACCATATTTTATCCTTTTTTTTTTTTTTTTATAATATAAACCTGTTGATGTATAAATCAATTGCATGTATTCTGATATTTCATATTGTTCCTTACCTAGGTTGCTTTCTTCACAATCAAGAGCAAAGGAGAGAAACTTTAGGTGCTTCCGTAAATGATTGATTTTTTTTCTATGTAGAAACAAAAGTTCTACGATTGTTTGTGTCTGGACTGTATCGGTTAAATATTTTGTTAATATTTCTAACATTTTTTCCGCAGCAACGCGCGAGGTACCAATTTCTAATTTAGATTTAAGCAAGAAGTTACAAGCAGATACATAAAGAAAATGATCAGACAAGACAACATATCATTTGGCGTCGAACAAAAAACGCTAACCTATCCGGCGCTGCGCACGAACTGAACTTGCACAGAGCATCAAAAGGAGGAGGAAGAACCCAGTTGATATTTTCATCTCTCTATCTCTCTCTCTCTTGGAGCCAAATAATCTGATACTGAAAATGTATGAAACTGTGGAATATTAAAACTAATGCTGCAAAACCTGCTACAAATCCTAAGAGAACTACAATTTGGTTTTTTAGGTCAGCATTTTCCTGGTCAATGCATTTTGGATGTATTTGATTTCACATATGGAACACAAGTGTGCTTGTCATAGCCTCAGCCAATCAATTCGTCTGGAAGGCCAACTAATTCATATCATGTTCAGTTTCATGCCATTGCCAATCATATTTTCATATTAAGACCCTCTCAACTTTTATGTATGTCGTTAGATATTACATTTGGTATTTTAATGAGTTATTTTATCTGTATGTGCCATATTATTATATGTAAGAGAGTGACTCTTATATGTGAGGAGTTAAGTAGTGAGTAATGTTTTATGCCATTGGCAATCCGCTATCGCTTATTATATCAGTGAGACAACAAATATATGAAACTTGTGCAATTTATCCTGCTTTTGAAATCATTTTCAAATGAGAGACATCATATTCGACTCACATAAATGGTAAATTTGATAACATTTTTTGTTGAAAAAAAATGTGTTTGTTACTTAATTGTTATATGTTGAATGTCGAGTTTCTATTAGAAAATATTCTTGTATATAAAAGGAAAACAATTTTAACTTCATTATGTATACATGTCAATTTGACCAAATGGCTACTATTTGGTGTTTTAATTATAAATGCATGAAACCTGCGTGCTTCCTCAAACACCAACATTGACCATTCTCTCTTTCTCATTTAAAAAAAAAGAAAAAGAGTTTTAACAAAATACTCCCGATACTGTTCATTTTTAACGAAAAATCACGTTTTTACCTTTCATTGGTACTATTCACTACATCTTTATTTGTTATTTTTCATTAAAACTAAAGTTTTTTTTTTTTGAACAACTAAAGTTTTTTTTTTTTTTGTTGAACTTTTCATTAATTTTCTTTTAATAAAATAAAATAAATAAATATAGCGTCAGTCATACAAAGTCAAGCTTTCTAAACCTCTTTTATGGACAGATATGGATTTTATGGTTCGAAGCTCAACCAACAGGTAATTTGGACCATTTAAATTGAATTCGATAGTACTAATTAACTCATATGCTGCCTCACTTTACATAATCTAAAGACTTCAACGTCTCTTTCACACAAAGGGTCCAAATTTTCTGATCTTTAAGCTCTGGACACTAATGTCAGGAGGGGATCCAAATTCCTCTTTATTATCCATCTGTCAAATTTTCAACTGTTTGCTTTAGCTTGTTGTCCTAGTTTCTCTCTTCCTCATCCTCCTCTAGCTACCGTTTGGAGTCCGGCATCCGAATCACATGTCCATGCGGTCCTAGACACATTAAAGCTTACCTACTCATATAATGACTCCACTCCCCTCTTCCAACACCTCCATGTTTCAGACGAAAGAATTTCTAGGTTCTTGTGTCTGAAACCCCAGCTAAGTTTAACAGAGGAGGGGTGGGACCATAATTTGGTGTATCGTAGGCCTCACAATCAGGAAGATATAGTGCTTTTTTAGTGTCCAAGCCATAGTGACAAATTAACAATGGCTAATTGGCTATGCCTCTCCCTCTGTATGTTGTTAATAGTGTCGATATTGTCCCATTACATGGATTGAAGAAAACCCCACATCAGGAATAATATGTATTAACAAAATATGATTCTTTATTTGAGAATTTATTTGAGAATCATAGCCGTTGGATGAGTTTACGATAGATAAATACACAAAGTACAGAGAGTCAAAAGTTCAAACATTATTGACGGATGGCGAATGTGAATGATAATTCAAGAGTAGTGAGAAAGATGATTGGTATTAAGTCTTTGGTCACTATTATCTTGAAAGTTGATGACCAAAATGACAACTGCCTCCCCTTCTTTTGGCTGCAACAGCAGAAATAGGATGCTTACATGGAACCTGCATTTGTGGAATATGAACATCTGGAAATTACTCCAGGTGAACTCTGGTATGGTGAACTCGTAACACGAGCTTCTTCATTTGAGCATGGAGCTCTTTCTCGATGCCTAGATGTACACCTCCATTTCCAAACACTCTGTTAACGCACAGCACAAAACTCTCTGCTGAGAGGTGGAAGCTGTGCATGCAATTGCTGTCTCTAATGGTTTCCAGAACGAATTCACGTCAAACTCTCCTCAAATCCTTCGATCTCAAATCCCCGTTCTGGAACTCAGGAATCAGGATTCACCAACTCCACTATGTAGAGAAGATCATCATTTTCTATGATTGCAGGTTGGCCAGTAAAACTCTAAACATCAATTTTTTTCATTCAACCTTTGATAATTATAGTACCTGCAGACCAAATAAAGTAATCATATATCACACTCATGGCTGATGTCACCGTGAGTCTCACTGTCATTGGGAAAAGCCATGGACAGACCGAAATCTGCTATTTTTGCGTCCAAGTTTTCACTTAAGAGAATGTTGGCAGTATTTACATCTCTACGCACAATACGTGGATTGCACCCTTATGCAAGTAAACAGTCCTGTGAGCCAAATTTCACAATATACATAAGTTGAATTAGGCATATGAACTTGTGCAGATATATTAGCGTATGAAATAACATGAAGCACTAACCTAACGCAATATCTAGTGTTATCTGAAGTCTCATTTCCCAAGTCACATGTGAGCTTCTATCTGCATTTGCAGCCATTGCCGTGACACTCCAATATTTTGAAACCCTCTGATGGAGGACAATGCTTATAAAATATAGAACTACATACCTGAGAGAGATTCTTTTAGGTTTCCTTTAGGCATGTACTTGTATATAATATAAGTACCAAGTAGTCGGTTTCATCACAGTATCCAATAAATGAGGCCAAGTTTCTATGATGGATTCTCATCAGGAGCTCAACCTGCAGCGACAAGGAACCCATCAATCTCTAACCAACGAGACAAGGCACTTGCAATTCCAAGGAATTAAAATCCTAACTGTCAAAACTCTGTTTGGAACTCCCTAGCTCCTTCAGTTGACGATGGAGAAAGTATTTTAACCGCAACTTGAGTGCCATCTTCCAAGTAGCCATGGTATACAATCCCAAATCCTCCTTTCCCAATTTCAGTTTGAAAGTTTTCGGTGATTTCTAAAACCTCGTCACAAGTAAACTGGGATTTCATTGATGCTACAGGTGTGCTACAGGTGTTTTGTTATGTTTTTCTCCATCTGCAGCTTAAGTACAAAAAGTTATGAGTTCAGGCTAACTGGATAGGAATACCACTACACCATAGTAGCAGCGCCGTTTCTAACTAAATAAGTATCAAGCGTATAAAATGGTACCTGGTTTTCTTATTCTTCTCAGCTTCCAGACCAGTAAGAGCACTATAACTTGAAGGAGGGCCATTGTTGAAAGTAATGATCCAAGTATTGGAACAACAATGTTCTTCTTGCACTTGCTTGAATCTGAGCTAAAAAGAACTTATCAGCAGATAGAAAATATAAATCTAAGGGACGCAATACCATTCGCTTTCGTTAAAGAATGCTAACCTATTCAGCACTCTCCATGAACGAAACTTGCACAGAGCAGTAGGACGAGGAAACCAGTTGAGATCTTCATCTCACTGTCTCATTGCAGCCTGTGAACTACCTGGTATTTAAAATGTGTGACAACGTCCTGAGCAAAAAATACAGAAAAACGTATGACACTGGATTTTTAACCTCATGCTGCACAACTTGCAGAGTACATACATGATCCTTATTACATGGGGATGCTTAGTCTACATCAATCAATGGATCATGCAATGTTCATACTAAGAGAGCAATTTGGTCAAGCCAACGTATTTTTTAGTCAAAGCATGTAAAACATTGTTCCTATTAGGGTTATGTGGTGTGATACAAGTCAGGGAGACAACCTGAAGTATTAAACAAAAGTGATTAAGTCGATGACAATATAGATGCATACTTGTATTTAGCCTACACTGATTCACTGCACAACAGATCCCAACCCACCCACCAAGTTTTGAACATGGGATGAATGAGAGAGTTTGAAGCTACCTAACATGCTGCTGTCATGGAAACTGCATTTGTGGAATCTGAACATCTGGAAATCACTCTAGATAAACTCTGGTATGGTGAGATCATAACAAGAGTTTCTTCATTTGAGCCTGGCGTTCTTTCTCGATGCTTAGACACCTCCATTCCATACATTTTGTTAGTTGGCACAGCACAAAACCAACCATGGTGGCTCTAAGTTGGGAGGTGGAAGTTGTGCATGCCATTGGTGTCTTTAATGATTTCCCAACCGAATTCACATCGAACTCTCCTTGAATCCTTCGATCCAAATTAGTTGTTAAATCACCATTCTGGAATTCAGGATTCACCCACTCCACGATGTGGACAAGATCATCACTTTCTATGATTGCAGCCTTGCAGGTTGGCCAGTAAAACTCTACAATTCAACCTTTGATAATTATAGTACCCGCAGACAATAAAAAGTAATCATAAATAAACCACTCACTGTTCATACATTTGTATTTATAACTTGATAAAAAATCTAATAGAACACGGAAATTTGAACATACTCGTGATCAAGATAACCCGCTCTGCCCATGACCGATGTCACTACACAAGTCCCATTATCACTGGAAAAAACCACGGATAGACCGAAACCTGCTATTTTCGAGTCCAAGTTTTCGTTGTACTATGCTTGCTCTCCTCTCTTAATGCAATTCTCCTATTGGATTCCCTTCGTAAGTGTAGCTGAAATACAAATCCAATTTATCTGTGATTACCGTATTCTAGATAACTCCGAAATATACATGGATAATTGATTGGAGATAAAAATAACAAATAACAAGTAACAAGTAAAATTTGGATTGGCTTCCCCAGTGCCGATAGATACTTGAGATTCCCACAACGGTGAATAGATTAGATGGTCGATTCATGAGAGGTTCCGTCATCACTCTGGTAAGAGCCTTTTGATTCATCACCAAAAACTGCAGAAAACGAGAGTGAATGAAGAATTTTGAACAAAATATACATGCATAATTGATTGGAGATAAAATAAGGGCTCCAAAAATAAAAATTACCTCTTATCTGGAATGTGAGCAATCTTTGGCCATTCTGTGGCGAATCTTTCTGACAGACGGGGACACGAAAAGATCTCTAGCTGATGTAATTTGGTTAGGCGTTGCATAGCTTCGACCGTAGGCAGAGACATCAGGTTCTCACATGCACGAATTCTCAACATAGCAAGAGATGTAAGGTTGCCCAACCACTCTGGAAGAGCCTCCAGACCATCGAAAAAATAAATGGACAAAGATGTTAGAGAAGCAGAGTGTTGAATTTGCTGAGGCAGAGACTTGAGCTTAGGCCACCCGCACAATCTTAATTCTTTCAGTTTCGATGGGACCTGAAAATCCGGAAAAGAATCGAGCTCTTGGCAGAAGGCACCGAGATACAACTTTTCCAAACGAGATAGAGAGTGCAGCCCCTTGGGCAAATACATCAGGTTCTTACATTCACAAATTGTCAACTCAGCAAGAGATGTGAGGTTGCCCAACCACTCTGGAAGAGCCTCCAGACCATCGAAACCATCAATGCGCAAATCTGTTAGAGAAGCAGAGTGTTGAATTTGCTGAGGCAGAGACTTGAGCTTAGGCCACCCCTTCAATTCTAATACTTTCAGTTTCGATGGGACCTGAAAATCCGGAAAAGAATCGAGCTCTTGGCAGAAGGCACCGAGAGACAACTTTTCCAAACGAGATAGAGAGTGCAGCCCCTTGGGCAAATATTGTAATTTCCCACAATAAGATAAATCTAAAGAGGAAAGAGATTGTAAGCTGGACACATTGTCATCCGCCAGAGATATCAAATTGTCGCAGGAGTTGACATCCAAACGGGTAAGAGATGTGCAGTATGCAAGCCCACTCGGTAGACTTATTAATTCATCACATCCCCAAATATTCAACTCAGTGAGGGACGTGAGGTTGTCTAAACTGGGAATAGCCTCTAGATTAGGGCAATTACTGACATCCAAATGGGTAAGAGATGTGCAGGATGCAAGCCCACTCGGTTGACTTATTAATCCATCACAGTGCCGAATAAGCAACTTAGTGAGGGACGTGAGGTTGTCTAAACTGGGAATAGCCTCTAGATCAGGGCAAAAACTTATTTTTATCTTCTCAAGAGAGACGGGGGTTTGTAGCCCATGACCCGACAAAGTCCTCAAATTTCGACATGTACCAATATCCAGTTTGCGAAGACTAGTACAAGAATGGAGCCCACTCAGTATACTTGTGAATCCATCGCAGTCTTCAATTCTCAATTCACGGAGGGATGTGCAACCGTTTAAAGACAAGTCCCCCTCGAGAGTAGTGCACCTCTTAATAACCAAATCACGGAGTGAGGGCAGACTCTGAATTGAAGTGCATCTTAGCTTTGGGCAATCTTCTATCCTCAACACCTGAAGAGATTGGGATGGTGAAATTTGGAAGGATTCTAGATTGCCGCAATCCTCAATTTCCACCGCCTCAAGTGAGGGGCAATATTCTAACCCACAACACAAGCTCAACAATTTCTGACAACTCCTAATTCTCAAATGACGGAGATTGGTTACTCGACAATTTCTCATCATCCAAGATGCAAATCTAGTACCCTTGAATTTCTCAATCTTCAAGCTTTCTAAGTTGGGGTGCGGTTGGAGTCCTTCAAGAATATCCTCGTCAAGAAAATTGCCATTTCTTTCTTTCCCCCATTCTAATATCAATTTTCGTAGGTTTGCCTTTTCCACTAATTTTGATTCCATTGCTTCTTCCTTGTCCCTCACAAATTCCAATGATCCAATAACTAGTTCCCCTTTCAGTTCATTTAACCCACCTAGCTCATCAAGTCTATGACGCCTTGCTCTATCCAATTTAAAACAAGGTAGCGTTTGCAGATGAGTCAATCTTGTCATCCCAAATGGAACTTCCACATCCTTGTTGAAATAAACATGTCTCAAGTTGATCAAATTTTCCATTCCCCTAGGAAACGTTTTAATGTGTGTATATGACATTCTTAACGTCTGAAGATTATAGAGCTTGCCAATAGATTTGGGGAGTTCTTTTATTCCTGTCCAGGAAATGTTAAGATACCTCAAGCGTTTCAACTTTCCAATTGAGATGGGCAACTCCTCTATTCCAGCATTGTATAAATTCAACATCCGTAAATCTCTGAACCTTTGAAAGGTGTTACTAGGGACCTTGCAATCAACAAACAACAACTGCAATCTCTCAACACTGTCTTCTAGAATTTTTTCAATTGTAGTGGAAGAAATACGCGCAACATGCTGAATGCTTTCAGATTTGAATTCTTTTTCTGCAAGATCATGCACCAGATCGTGCATCTTGCAAATGGTAGTGCCATACTCTTCTCCAGCATCTTGAAATAAAGAGTTTTGCAATAGAATATTAAAATATTCATTACCTATATCCTCCATACTTATGTTGGAAGAAGAATGGAGATATCCTTGAGCCATCCAGAGCTGGACCAACTTATCTTTTTCAATTATAGAATCTTTCACAAACATTGAGCAATATGCAAAACATTGCTTCAATGATGACGGTGTTAAATTATCAAAACTCAACTTCAAGACTGACATGATTTTCTGATCTTTATCTGGTAATTCCCATATTTTACTTTTTAGAATTGACGACCATTCACGCGTGCTATTTTGAGAACGCATTAGGCTTCCTAAAACCTGTTGATACATAAGTTAGTTAGTTTCTATATATTTTATAATATAAAAAGGTGATTAGCAAAATAACAATCCCAAATTATAGCTTCATTGAATTTTGAATAGAGTGATGAGCAAAACAAAGATGCATTAAACTCAACTTCGTTTTGTATCGATCAGAATTGCAAGATTGCTCTCCAATATTTTTGCTTGTTAGAAGAGAAATACCAAGGAGACTTGCGAGCCAAGTAAGAATTAGTCTTGGAATTAAACTCAAAGATACTTGGTTAGATCATTTAAATATAAGTGTTAATTTAGTACTTATGATAACCGAGTAATTGAACAATTTGTAACAATGCACTAGGAAGGTAGTATTTTGAAGGAGCGTTTTGATCCACATTTTTTATAGCGAACTATAAAGAAACATTAAATTTACACAGCCGCGCCGTGAGCATAGAGCGAACTATTCTTTCGTCATTTACTAAAGAAACACTAAATTTGATCAAACGGTTATACGACTTCGGATTTGGGTGATTTTTGTAGAGATGATATTTGAGAAAATACATAAAAATAGACGGTTAAATCGTTGAAATATACAAACATATATATATATATATATATTATAAACAAATTGATCCTTTAAAAGCTCATTATTATGTTTTTCATGCTATTTTCTTTTTAAAATGTTCGGACAAAATTAAATATACCAAGTTAAGGGTTTTTATAATGGCGATTGATTATTTAATTGTACTTATATTAGCAAACTAAAATGTTTTAAGTTCAACTCATATGAATGAGGATAACGTTTTGAATTTGTTTGAGTTCGAAATCATACTCAAACATGACCTAGCCCAATTCCCGTTAAGAGTAGAATGGTACAAATCATAGTGATACATTACCCTAATTCTGCAAACTAATCCTTTATGGAGAAAGCCACCAATCTATGTCTTCGACTAGCGACCCATTTTCGTGTGTAATTAATGTCTCATATTACAAACTTATTTCTGAACTACTCATTAATCGTTTAATACCTATTTTAGGTAAACGTATTTGACAAAACCAAGATGTTTTTTTTTTCCCATTCCATTGATTAATTCAATATGGGATATCAGAGTAATGCTAGAGAGACCAACTACTTCAATCATATTCATAGACCGCATGATGTGTTAGTTGATGGTTGGACTCATTATTCAAATCATTAAAGAAAGAATCCAACTATCAATCGCTACATCATGCGGTCTACAAAATATGGTTTCCCTACTCCCTAGCATAAAATTGCAAAGAGAAACTTGATATGAAAAACAATTTGGGTCATAATCGTTATCAATTAGCATCATCTTTCTCTATGATTAAAACAATTAGGCTTTAATGACACTTGGATTAAATCTTATTGGGTTTGAGAATCCTGTTTTCCTAGACTTCAATGACTAAGAAAATGATTGTCGCTCACCATTAGATCTTTAATCAAACGGTACAGGAAAAATACAGCAAAAAAGTTAAATGAGCACCAGCCATTAGATTAAGATCGAATGGTGGGTGACCATCATTTTCTTGGTAATTGTATTATAGGAGAACAATTCTGTTGGGTTTGATAGGGTTTCTTCCGTTTGTGTAGTTAATTGGCTATTCAATCGTATTGACCTCAAACCTCTGTGGCTAAAAGAAATAGAGGATTCAAAGCCAAGTCTATGTTTTCTCCTTTAAGAAAATTTAGAGTAATACTGTTGATGTAATCAAATTTACTCCCTTATTTGTATAGTTTATACTTTAACATTAGTTTATACGACTTTATGCATAACATTTGTTTATATATATTTATGTTACTAAAATAAAAAAACCAAATAAAAGATAGCAAGGGGGAATATGACAATAGACATACCTTTGCCACCAATGGTACACCGGCACACTTTTCAGCTATCGCCCTTCCAATGCCCTCTTGATCTGAATCTAGAGAACGAGCATTACCATTTCGTAATGCTTCACCCTTTAATATGGACCAGCAATCCTCCTTTGACAGGAGCTCCAAATCACACTTCGGCATTGTCCCCGTGATTGATGCAACCTTTTCACTGCGGGTAGTAACAATGGTAATGCTTCCGGGAGCAGAATTGAGCATCGACAAACAATCCGTAAAACTGCTCCATAAATCCTCAGCTTCATTCCAAACATCATCGAGTATCAGCATATATCTCTTCCCTTTCAACCTTTCTTTGAGGTTATTCAGCAATGCTTCCTGACTTGTAAATCCTGTCCTGTCCGAGTTAAGGGACTCTAACATCAGATTTAGAATCGAATTAACGTCAAAAGGGTTGGATACACACACCCACATTTTTTCCTGGAAATGTCCACCAATGGCATCATCGTTGAATATTGATTTTGCCAAAGTCGTCTTTCCGAGTCCTCCCATTCCCACAATGGCCTTAACTGAGAGGTACTCTTCCTGATTCTTGGACTCGATCAAGGTTGCAATGATATTCGACACAGTCTTCTCCCTTCCAATGATCTTCTCATCCTGACGGAAGCTTGAGACGGTTTCTCTGTTCCTCATAATTGGAGGAGGGGTTTGATCTACTCTCCTTGCAACCAAGTGAATCCGAGATGCATCACCCTTGAGAACCGCCAGTGACGCGTTGATGTTCTTAATCTTGTGTGCCATCTTTTGACGAAATAAAATGGGATTGGAGAGCGAAAAGAAGTTAAGTACCTTCTTCTTCATGTGGTTTTGAATTTCTGCTTTACGCCGGATAACTTCGTAGTTGATGTCCGCCAAGACGTCATCGGCATCATGAGCTACGTCTTTCAGTTTCTTCACCCAGTTTCTCACTGCCACGCCCCGATCATGTGGTTGGTGGGCAACATCGCCTAAGTACTCTTCAATTTCCTCTAACGATACAGCAAGCTAAGTTGCTTCTTTTTTGAATCCTCGGAAAAGACCGATTTCTTGAGCAGCAACTGAACCGACCGACTTCAGTATTCCCTCCACCGGGTAAGTGATGATACCTTGTAGCACATCCATACTCGTGCGAGAAAGGGAGATTAGAGAGTAGTAGAAGGCAGAGAACTGGGAGAAAGCCAAGGACGGACACAAGAAGAGCGAATAAGATGAATGAAAGGCACAATAATTCAAGAAAATGTGGTAAAAGAAGAATGAAACTCACGGTAATACTTATTTTAACGAAAAAATATATTTTTATACTAAAAAATTAATTTTAATACTATTTACTTTACTCTTTATTTTTACACTTTACTCTTCTCAGAAGGACCTTATAATTGACGCCACTTTACACATGCGAGCATCATCATAGTGTTCAAGAGCAATATTAACCCTACTTATCAGCAAAGATTCTTTATAAACAACTTTATTCAATAGTGGAGGCCGACTTTAATAAAGTAATGAGGATTGAAGTGAAAGGACAAAAAAGAATATCATGTTATTTAGTAATATGATTTAATGATTTTTTTATTTATTTGTAAGTAAGAGATATTAGATTCGATTCTTATCAATGATAAAATTGAACAACATTGTTATTAAACTCACACATGGCGTTCAAAAAAAAAAAAAAAAAACTCACACATTTTCTCTTAATGAAGATTATATCGTTTGTGGAAAAAATATATATATATATAAACCCATTTTATTGGCAAATTATATATACTAAAACTCAGTTGAAGTCACTGTTCATTAACAGTGGTTTGACGGATTTGCCCTTCAATTGTTACCTGTTTTCAGCCTTTTTCCTGCACAGCACGGTAAATTTACTAATTTACCTCTTCGGTCCGCGTGTCAGCCATAGTAGAAGGGAAGTGAACAGGTGAGCGCTCTTCCTCTGCTTCTCTGGAGTTTTCTTTCTCAGAAAACTAAAACGTTGTTCTCGAGTGTTCTTAATCACAAACGGAGAAATTCCAAGGTAATCCAGTCTCCTCGAAATCCCTGCATCATCAAAACATCCCTCATCAGAATCTGCACTCGCTTTAGCTCCGTTCAAGTTGTTGCTCCGTTGGATGTCATCTTCTCCTCCAGCGTCTCATCCTCTCCTTCTCCTGGTATTGTTTTTCATCTCTATTTTTCCCCAAATCTGACTTCCTTTTTCTATATATATATATATATATATATATATATCGGGTTTTTTTTCGTTTTTGAACGATTCTCATAGGTTTTTGCGGTTTGGCTGAATAGGGGTAAATCTAGAGCTGCTGCTTTCTAAAAAGCTGATGCGAAGTGAGCTTCTGTTTTCGGTTTCCGTTTTGCTCTCCTTTTTTTTATCGTACAGCACGAAACAGCCAAGGATCGTGCACGAAGTCCCCACCTCAGGTTATCCGTCTTCCGTACCATCTGTCTCTTCCCCAAGGTTTAGTAATTTGTTTATGCGCTTGCATTTTCTGATTCCTTTATGAAGAAAGATGAGAAATTTTTAAAACAGGGGTTTGTTTTGGAATTAGGATTTTAGTTTGTTTATATAATCTTTGAGGGTATGTTTGATTGATTGAAAGATAGGGAATAAAATGGAAAATTTGGGGTGAGTTTGTTGTGTTTTGGTTTAGTCTTTGGGGAATGTGGTGGGGTTACTTCAAAATTGAAATTGAATGGTAGTTTATTGGTATAAATTACGTTACTCTCAGTAATTTTTCTATTGTTTTTTACAATGCCTTTTTTATTTTTTGTTCTTTGTGTTGTTGCTTAGCTTAGATAAAAGATTAAGGCTTTGAATTGAGAGTAAGCTTAATTATTGTTGAGTGTTTATTCTATTTGGTGCATTTATGATATTTGTGGCTAATGGAACTCCATCGCCTCTGAATTCGCAGGTGAGTATTGCAAGGTTTTTTTGTTTCTCTGGTATTGATTCAGCGAGTTTGCATGTGGCTGAAAATGGTGTTTCAGTTGCGAGGAACAAGACATTTACAAAGTATATTCAAGAATGCATGGTCGGTTCTTTCTGATGTTACGATTTTGTTATCAATTTAAAAACTGTGGTTTGTATTTTTTTAGTATTATTTTGGCATTTTGGTGCAATGGATTTTTTTGTACCTAATTGCAGACCTTTCGTTTGCTCATGATTTAGTAGTCGACTGAGTATCCATGCTTATACATACTTTAATCATTTTTTTGGCAACATGTGTTCAACATAGAGATACCTTTTGGTTTGTTGGTGAGGCATTATGAGTGCTTATCAGTTATTTACTAAAGGTGGTTTTATACGAACTACTTGAACTTCTTGGGATGCCTGTCTTAAAAGCAAATGGAGAGGTTTTTGCACTGTGTATGCAGTTAAATGACGATGTTGTATTTCATATGCAAGAAATGATTTCATCAAGTATGTTGTATCTACTATATATGCAAAACAGATTGCTAGCTAATCTTATTCTTATTAACTCTTCCCTTTTACCTTTAGATTTCTGTTACGATGCAGGCTATTGAAGTTGGAGAAAGTTTGCATGCAAACTCTATTTTGCATAATGTTCTTCAGTAAGCCTTTGAAGTTTGCCTTGGAAGTGTCTTTATATTCTCATTCACTTTGTTTTATTGTTAGGAAATTCTAGGTGGAAAGAATAATACTCAATCAAAATTACATTTGATCTACAAGTGGTTGGACTGACATTTTTCTTATACAATGAAGGCGTGAAATATGTGGACAATTACAATTTTTGTTTTCATGTCAAACCAACTTGCTTCACATATATTATGCCATTGTTGACATGTATTCTTCCGTTGTTTTCAATAGTGCTTTTATGTTGCACCAGGAAAATTCTATTTGAGGATGGGAACCACCTGTATCGGTTCTTGGATGATGATCCAATTGTATCTCATTCATGGTTCGAACAGTTATCAGAATAGGAAGGGATAACTGAATTGATTTCATGGATTAAAGTAGGTTGGGTTAATTATGCTTTAGCAGATGCTTTCTTTGACTTAATGTCAATTAATTGACATTTATCATAGGCTCGATGTGCATGAATCTTCTTTTTATTTTTTCAATTGATGCTTTAGCAGTTTCTATTATCTACTTTTTGGGGTATAAATCATGTCTATAATTTCAAAATACATGTTCTTTATGACAATCTATGGTATTTATAAAATAATTCATGTTAGAGTAATTTTTTTTTCCTTTCCCTTCACTGCACTGCAGTCCCGGTGAAAAGCACTTGCAGACTTGCAGATGCACTATGCACGTAAGTAAAACATTTTACTGTCATGTCTTTCTTGGTTAGTGATTTTGGTATAGCTGATGAATGTGAATGTCAATTGTGTGGTTTGTGTTCCTGGGTTTATGCTTAGTGCAATGTATTTTCTATATGTACAATTTTCTCCTTCAGTTTCTACTATTTTTCATTTTTTTGAGTTATGCATACCATCGATGTTGTTATTGTAGCTTGAGAAGCAGAGCGATATGTAGTGCCAACCTGAGTCACAGTTGAAGTTTATTACAGAGGCCTGACTACAGGTACACCACAAATGACCACACTTTTCTACCAAGAGTCTATTGCTATTTCTTATTAAATTTTCTTTATTTTCAAATAGTTGAATATAGGCGAGTACTAACATGGACATATGCTAATTGATATTATTTGCCGGAGCATGAACATGCCAAGTTCTGAGTACTTGCAAGGTATGTCATTTTCTCAAGCTTGAAGAGAGACAATGCATCGTGTTGGTTTGTCCTAATTAATTTGTGTTTCTGCAGGTGAAGTTGAGTCTGGGTTGGAACGGCTTCATCAATGTGCAGAAAATGAGATCCAAGTTTACCTCAATGATAAGGAATTTCAATGAGTTTCGCACAAAACTTGCTGGATAGACCAGGTTATGTTCTACTAAAGATATTACGCTACTTTTCTGATTGGATAAGTTGACTCGGGTTACAATGATATAGCTTTTCAGTTTATTAATGCTAACATGTTAGTTTTGCTAAGTGGGAATGCCATAATATAAATTTTATAGAAATGATGAATGGGCCAATCTGAAGTAACAAATTTCAACTGATGAATGAACTCTTATATGACTGCCACTGCATATACTCATCTTTTATTTTGTTGGGTTTTATTTTTTTATTTTTATTTTCTTTTGGTAAAATGCAATGTTGGTTTCGCGAAGAACTGACCTCTATCTTATCTATAGCTCTATACGCATGTAGTTTTTCTCTTTTTTGGTCTCGAGTATTTGGTTGATTTTATTTAACAATCTTTTGGAATATAGAGAATTTTTGCACCAATGTCTTATTCCAGGATTTCCTGATGATTTAGCATTGAGATGTTGGGCAAAGGTGTCTCATGGGAACCACAGATTACTCGAAACTATCTCAAAGAAGTGGAGAGATTTCTTATTAGCTCAGACTATGCCAACTATGAAGCTATAGAAAAATGGTGCGGAAATTGGCTGTTTGTTATTGACGAGATATAATCCAATAGCTAATAAGTATGCTCCCATATTCGACACTTAAAAATATGTCTAGAACTGATGTTACTATTACAGTATTCCTACTTTCATTTTTACAGAAGAAAAGGTTTTTCATTCTTTATTTCTTGCTATATTATGTTGGGTTGTGCAAACTATTCATTTGTAGGGGATCCCTTCATATATATTAGTTAATTCTTGCTAAGATTTGTGCAAACTGTTTTTGTTATGTCGAAGTTGAAACCTTTTTTTAGGGTTGTAAATAGATTTCATATGTATGTAAATAGTATATGTACACATTATAACTTTCTACATATTTTATACAATTTTAAAACCCGCAGCATCGCCCGGGCACTTTTGCTAGTATGCTCTAAAAATTAATTATCTGACATTATTCATATAAAAGATAAAAATATAAAAAGATAGAAGACGATAGGACCCCTATAATTGATGCCACTTTACACTTGTGAACTTGGCTTGGTGAGTCTGAGCACTTTTCACGCGGTGACTCATTTATTGGATTAAATTATTTTGATTAGTCAATATTTATTGGAGATGGATTGTTTGCTTTTCTATTTCCATACTTTTTTCATACTTTCCTGTAATGTGTGGTCACGGTTAAGTCACGTTAATATTTTATATTAATTATTTTTATAGAAATAATAAAACAAAAATTAATAAAAATATAAAATATTTACGTGACTTAACTGTAACCACACAAACAGGATGGCATGGATAAAGTATGGAAACCAACCCGTGGATTTTTGTCAGGACTCGGTGCTGATGACTATTCAACCCTACCCGGTCCTGTCACTTCATCTTCAACATGATTTCGCATAAGCAGTGGTATATACATATTTAACTCTACTTTTCATTCTTAATTTTACTGAATGAATTGAAAGAGAATAATTATACAAAATTAACAAAAATGTGTTAGAAATAAAAATGATTGTGTAAATAAGACTTTCACATAAAATGTGTTTTCTTTTACACAATCGAACTAGAAACTTGTCTCTTATACATCGAATTGGCTAGTAATTTACATTCATGTTTCTACCTTTTTCATTGACTATGGTAAATCTAAACCAAACGAGAAAATGTGGTAGCTATTACAATCGAATGCTAGGAATTCGTCTCCAACACTACACATAAGCGTTTAAATTGGTTTGGTTTTAGCAGTTTATAAATACGTCAAATCCAATGAAATCAAACCAAACTAATTATAGTTTGATTTAGTTCAACCTAAAATTGCATTTTTTTCATTATAAAAGTCATACCAAACTTCTTAGATTGATTTTTATACGACGATATATGTACATAGCTAAAAGTTAAATCAAAACTTTTTGGATTGGGGTGTAGTATAAATTTGTATCGAACTCGTCATTCATGAAATTCAAACTTAAAAACCTATTATTTATAAGTAAAAAAAAATACCGTTAGATCATAATATTAAATGACAACCTCTTGGATGGTTTAGTTTGAACAATATTTTCATACAACAATATATTTACATTAAATTGAGATAAAATGGACAAGAATGCTCTCCGGATCCCTATTTAGGAACTTCCACCACTATCTCTGAGAGCTTATTTAAAGATTTTAAAGAAATATTCGGATCTTTGAAAGAATATTGTTTTTTTATGAAAAGTTCTTATAGTGTAATTTTCAGATTAATATAAAAACAAAAATATTGAAAAATTATGATTCATGTACGGAAAAACTAAAAAAATATCTCTACCTTAGCTTTTCAACAATTAAAAAAAAAATTACGTGAAAAACCAAAATGAAAATTTCACGTGGGTGGGATCAACAAACAAGGTAAAAGAAAAACCAGCTGGTGTGGGTCCCTGTTCTGCACAAAATCAACAGAGGCGCACTATACAATTTTCACATTTGAGATTTTTTTTTTTTGAAGTATTTAGCGAGATTTTATATATTGAAATACCTGCCGACAAAAAAAAAATATTGGAATATTTTAAAGACTTTAATTTCGACTCTTAAAAAACTTTTTGCCTTCATATTTAGAGATTGTACTATTATAAATATTTTGTTAGGCTCTCCATTGGAGAGAGTCTAACATTACAAAAAAAGTGACTTTTGGTTTCTGGCTTTTAACTTTGAACTTTTGGTTTTAGTTTTTCAATATTTTCACGTAGAAATAGCATTATTAATATGGGAGCACAACAAATATATATATGAACCTACAGAGAAATTAAAGAAAAACAGAAATGTTTGGTCTGCCATATGTAAATTGACATGTTTGGCTTCTAGCATTGGAAAGAAAGAAATTGTGTATACTTGAATTATAAATTGCATTTTCCATCCAAATTAAGTATTTAAAATTATTGCCGACAATAGGAGTTTTGTGATTAGTCGCCTGCAAGTACGCGTAAACTCATATTTACTATTCACAAAATGTCATTATCGTTTTTGAGTGCATACGTACGATCCACCCGTCTATTCTTGCTTTGTAAATATAATAAACATAAATCACCACTATGAACGCATATGCCATGACAATTATTTTTTTTTAATAATTTATTTTATTTTTGCTTCTTTGATTGTGTTTTATTAAAATGTTAAAAAAGAAAGAGTATTAAAGATAGAAAGACAGCACGAAATTAATTTTAATTCGCTTGTTGTCAATATCAATTTACGTCCGTTGAAATCGACATTATCAAAGAAAATTTTGACATGGGGTCCATTTATAACCAAAGACAAAATGAATATATAATTAAAATGTTATTATTGGTGTGTGTGATTGACAATGAGCATCGGAGGAAGAGATTGAGTAATTATGTAATATGATTGTGATATCACAGCAAATTCAAACAAAATCACTAATAAATTCGATTTAGTAGTTGGCAGTCGGCTATGGTGGGTGCGCCCATGGTTTCAAGTCTAATTTGCATTTTTTTTATTACTAGTTGGCACGGTCACATGCATGACATGAATGGTGGTAACCACTTATTTGTCTTTTGATTGATGCAGATCCGGATTAAAAAAATAGGTCTTTCTAATTGGCATATTTTATTACTAGTTGCGTTGATCACTGATTGTTTGCCTATTTGTAAGGTTCATGAGTGTTGGAAGAGAAAACCGAACACAAGATTTTCAGTTGTAAGTACTAAATGTATGCTCTTAACCACTAGATTTATAAGTTTCTTTTGCACTCAATGTTCGACTCTCGTTCTTTCTAATCATGAATTGTGTGAACCGTTGGATCTGATGGAGAATTGGACACTTAGCATCATTGAAGTGAAACGTGCTATTTGCTCCTCAAAGAGGCTATTTTTCATGCCGACCTTACGTGCAGATCAAATATAGTACGTTGGATCTAATTTGAACTACCGAAATCAAAACAAGTTTGGGGTGAAACCAGCTCATAATAAAACAAAGCTCATTGGTGGAACAAGGTCCGAAAAACCCGTATAATTCATGCGCACAACTCGAATATCTCATCCTTTTTTGCAAATCCTCCATCTTCGAAGGTAGAGGAACGTTTTCCAACGCTGCTTTGCTTGCAATTGCTGTAATGAGATGAGCCGTTGTTTTCATGGGGCAGGTCCTAACGTGCCCTATAGCTATAGGACCCCATCCCACATGAATCATGTTATTGGCGGCACCATTGTGTGTACTGTTTAGGAATCAATAATGATGGGGTTGGGTACCTTTAATTTAGAATTCAAATGAATTTGAAATCCATTAGGAATCGATAAAATCTCAAATTTGATTGACTGAAAATTATATTTATAAACACAACCCAAATTATGTTCAGTGTGTATCTTATTTTTTTTTTCTACTAGTAACACATCATATGATTTATAAATATGATCAAAATTTGGTCTACTTAATATTACTCATACATTAGACTTTCTAGAAAAATAACGCAAAAACCCTAAAATCTTAAGATGCTGATTTAACATAGTAAACGACATAATTCGGCTGGTGTTTAGGATAATCAAATCATTGTAAGAACAGAGAACCTATGGTGTTTAGGATAATTAATAATCAAATCGTTGTAACGACTTATGGTGTTTAGGATAATTAACATCCCATACACAACATTCCACAAGTGGACAGTGGAAGATCATCAAATCCTCTTCTGTTTTTGTTAATTATGGTGTTTAGGATAATTACTATCAAATCATTGTAAAAACTTATGCTTCTTTCTTCTGTGTAATGTATGTTCTCTTTGTGCTAATGCAATTATTAATGTAATTTTTTATTAAGTTTTGGAAAGTGTTATTGGCACTTAAAAAATCTCATTCTACACTCCTCACAAGTGTATTTTTCTTTCCAAATATAGAAAGTTTGGAGTGTAGAATAAGATTTTTAGAGTGTCAATAACAATTTCCTAAGTTTTACTGTGTATTGCGTTCTTGATTCATCTGGTTGGATTTGTGAATTTGTTTCAGCAAAATCTCAATTCGCTGTTATATGGAATTTTCACAGTATAGTAGTTTGGGGCAGCTGCCATGCCGCACCACCCTTCGTCAAATAAATCCAAGGGTACATGCATTCTCTCTTGCAACCAATAATATTACTTGTACGTGTGTTCAGAAAATGAATCACTTGTTTAATAAATAAAAAATTCATATGACATGCTTTGTTACATGAGAGTATTTCTTTTTTCAAAATCTTAACAAAACAAGATTATCCGTGCTTATTTCTTTTTCATGTGCCAAACAATTTACGTTTGAGTAGGAGAATTTCTCATATACACCTCCGTCCTTAGTTATGAGATTTTTATCACATTCAAGCTACCACATTATTATTAGATTATTTAGATCGCACATTTAACTGTACCACAGAACTCAACTGGACCAAAAAAAAAAAAAAAAAAACTAATAAAAAGGGTTTGAAAATTTTGAGTTTTAACGATAAAGACAAAATAAAGTGTAAAGGGAATAGTACCATGATTGACTTTTTAGTGTAAAAATATGATTTTTTGTTAAAATGAAAAGTATCGTGAGTTATTCGTTAAAGTTCAAAAAAAAAAAAAAAAAAAAACCTCTAACAAAAATAATAAAAATAAAGAAAAAAGACAAGGAGAGAATACTAATTACTTGAATAAGAGGAAAGATAAAAAAAGCTATTTTTTCGTTTGGTCTTGGTCTAAGGGCCTGTTTGGGATTGAGGTGATTAAAAAAAAAGCTACTATGAAAAAAAGCTATGAAAATTTTTGGTGTTTGGTAAACTTTG